CAGATATAACCTGTGACAATGGCCTAAAACCTCTAACCTTTCTTTCTTTATTAATGGTAAAAGTATTTTCACAATGTATGCTGCAAAAATGATTCAATTCTTTTGTCCCTTTTCATATTTTCTTCTTTTTGTATGATGTAAAAGTGCAACTGTGAATTGAATTGGATTTGTTGTACTACTAACGAGAGTTTTGGCTCAATCTTTGATTGGTATTTCGTGTATTGGTACTAACGAGAGTTTGGCTCAGTCTTTGGTTGGTTTACATGGAGAATTTTCTGTGTGATATCAGTATCACTAGATTCGAGGAACAATGGGCATGGTTTTAGAGAAAAGCAAAATTTATAGAATGCAAAAGCTATGAGCCAACAGATTCAAACTGTAAACCTCTCTGCCCAAAAAAAACACTTATATTGAAACAAACTTACAAAATAAAAACAAGAAAATAATTAAATTGCTTACACTTGATGAAAACTGAAAAGGTCCTTCCGAGGAATTATGCGTGGAGATCACTATAGATGGTCAGCAAAAACATGAATAAGCCAAGTGGTTCTTCTTTGAGATGTACGGAGAGATGAAATCTGTAGCAAGGCCAGATGTCTCTGCAGGAACTAGCACTTGAGGCTTACCTAAAGCTATCCTTTTTCCAACTGTGTTTGCATAAAACAGACCGGATATGGCTGGAACAAAGACATCGCTTCTTGAGCTTATGTAGAAGTCGATAACATTTTCGTACTCTGAACTCTCTGTTTCAAGGTACTTTGATCTCTTACTCGCCGGCATTATTGCCTCCTGCCATAGTTGAATGACAGAATCAAGATTAACAATAGGGTAAAAGACTTTCTTGGCCTAACCAATGTGGAAACCTACTTACCTTTGTGAACGTTTTTGGGAAGATATCCTTAAGGATATTGAGGCTACTGTCCCATCTTGGCTGAGTTAGATAGATAGTTGTGTCGCTGGCAAATCCAAGCTTCCTCAAGAATAAAGCAATCTCTTGCGCGTTGTAACATGTCTTGGACCCTGTAACACCAGTTGTATGGCAATTTTTCTTCTCAAGTACGTCGATTCTAAGGTCTACCGCTATGAAACGGCCACCTGATTTCCGGCTATGAGTCCTCAACCGCTCAACCATTGCTTCAGCCACTGCATTGACTTCAGGTTGCAGCTCCAATGACCCAAACATTGCTAAACACGCGACAGGATCAGTTTCGCCATCTTGTGAGGATTTCCTCAAGTTCACAGAAGGGAAGTATGATGCAACTCGAATGTTTCCTTTCGATTTGAAGACGGAATCAATGTGCTCCTTAATGTAATCTTCTGTAACTCTGGTAGGGACCTTCACAATGGCGATGTTCCTTAGAGAAACTTCTTCAGGCAATTGTTTCACAACTTTAACGACATTCTCCAAGCTTTTAATTAGTTTATCCGCATCATAGATATCTTCAAAACTCCTGATAAAGCAGTTAAAATTGCTTAGAAATCTATTAAACTAATTAGCAAACACAAAAATATCATGATCACACAAAAACAACCCTTACTTTTCATCACCAGGTTTGCTTCCTCTAATATCAGGAAGTACTAGAGTTGCTCCTAGATGCTTTGCCACCATTACAGCATCAGTGATCTAAACAAGAGAAACAAATTTCACCACAACAAACAATGACAGGAAGAAGATAAAACCCGTTTAATAAAAGAAACCAATGGTTGCGTACAAAGATTGGAAATAATCAAAGATCACCACTTTAGAGTTTTTAAGAAGCATACCTGAGAAATATGGTACTCAGGACCATTCGTTAGTGAGAATGTGACATACCCTTTTGATGATGATGATACCGCTTCATCTGCAACAGTTAGGTCCTTAGTAAATAATAGTCCAGAACCAATGATGCAAACAAAAACATAAGAAACTGCAAATTACAGAGTCTGAGTAAACACACATACCGGATAGTAATGTTGGCCAACAAGGATTAAGATCAGTGTTATCCTCCATCCAAGGTCCTTTACTGCCTTCAACGGTTCCGACAAGACCATCTTTCACAGCGACTTTAGATCCTTCAAATTCAATATCTTGTGCATCTCCCTGAACTTTTTCCTGTACAAAATACCCAAAAAAAGACAAGAGAAAAAAAACTTAACCGTAGGTTTTGAGGTTAAGCTACAGAAGATCAACCTTTTTCACTATTAGTTTACACCAAAAGAGATGAAATCAATCATGTCCTAATGATCCGCTGGAAAAACTGTTGACTCTAATTTTGGGTTTCTGATGATCAATGCAATCCAACATTTTGATCTATAAATGGAAAGTTTTGGTTTTGATGCACAAATCAAGCAAATTTTTTCACTTGAACAGCTAACTGTATTAGATCTACTTCAGAAAGCATCTAAGAGAAGTATCAACACAGGAAAAAAGAACTGACAATGAGGAAGAGCAATCAAACAGAACCCACTTGAACTAAGCTGCAATGAGTAGTATCACACTAGAACAAAAGCCTCAAATCAAAACGAGAAAGGAAGAAAAAAAGAAACTGTCGGCAAGAAAGCTAACCTGAAGAGAATCATAGTAATCTCTATGAAGCATCTGCCCAAGCATCACAAACATGGTAATGGTGAGAATACCAGCAACTACTTGCCTCAGATCAAAACCCATATTTTCTTACCTTCCCTCTACAAAAACAGAGGATCCTGAAGTAAATGAGTTAAAATAGAGAGAGGAAGAGAAGAAAAAGAGAGACCAACAAAGGAAGAGGTGTTGTGTTGTGTCGTGGGGGTAGATAGAGACAATCTATCTTCCTCAAATATGATATCTCAGTTTCTCTTTTGGATTTTTTTTTTATATATTTCTTTTTCAATTAATGTTTGTCGAAAAAGATCACTTCTTTTGTTTCGAGTGAGTGTTATTGTCAGTGTTCATTGCTGAAGTTGAAGTCTTACGCTATCTTACACACACCACGGCCACCGACACTTCTGCCGTGAATCTTGGTATACACTTCAACCGGTGGTTTAACTAAACCGGTCGAAATAAGACTACAATGTGGTTGATGAAAATAAATTAACTTTAAATCACGGACTCATCTACTAATCTTATCAAATTAAAAGAAGACAGTAGTAGGTAACGGTACACAGATATGTTTTCTATCATTGATAGTAAAGTAAGAATATACTAAGAAAATTCCCTTTATGTAATGATAAGATAAGAGTTGTTAATTCAAACAAAACAAAATTATAAGCAAATGATAAAGCAACGGATTACAAATAGGTTTTGAATTACACATTTTGAAACATATCATTTGTTTGACGTGGGACTAATTTAGTAGTAATTATATATGACTAGAAACTTTTGAGTCAAAAGCAACTCTAAAATGATGCAAATATAGCTTTCGTTAGAGGCCAAACATCAAATACTCAACTTTTGCTAATTAATCACATATTTTAGCCAATACCATCATCATTATAAGGTTTTGCACACGATGATGGTATTGGCTCGAGTTCATGGTTGGATCTTTCACGTTATTCAAATAGTTAATTTGGTTTAGAACCAATATGTTTTTGGATATTGTTCGATTCTAATACTTTCTATTTGAATTGACTAAAACTCTCGAAAAAAATCAAAATACCCTAAGAAAAACTTATATTTAGGGGACGATTGGTGAGATAATTAACAGTCGTTACCTATCAAATCCCTTAATCGAATGAAAAAAACATTAATGAATGGTATGTAAAATATTATTGTGTAAAGCCTGTTACAAAAAAAAAAAAATATTATTGTGTACCACCTAGTTAGAAATGGATACTTTGTATCCAAGTCTAATTAAATTACTTGAAATTTGCATAGACACGTTGAACAAGAGACTCATATCAGAATATTTTGTTCATTGTTCATGCCTAATAGTAAATTAATTTAATTTAGTCATGTCTCTTTATATATAGTTCTACTTTTGTCACTTGAAAACTGCAGAAATATTTTGGTGGAACATCAGGAAAAACACATGCTGATCCATGATTATTACGTATGCATGACTATGTGCTTTCTTTTTTATTACTTGTCTTCTAAGTTTATGAGGGGGTCACCAATTTACAATGATATACTGTTGTTGTTGTATATGATTTTTGGAAACACATATAAGCAATAACACAAAAAATGAGAAACAAATAAACAATGAATGAAATTGTATTCTTAAGCTACTACATTTTCTTACAGAGCCATTGATTAAACCTATATTTTTTATTTGCATTTTTATTACATTTCTTTGAAAATTATAGAGAAAACTTTATGGTATTTAGGGTTGGTGTTTAGTGTTCAAGTTTTACAAATTAGTTTTGAATATTAATATATTTAATATTATTTTCTTTTGTGAATGGGTAAGAAAACTTTACTGTTGAGATTATTTTATGTATATATCTCTCTATTTATATTTTTGCTACATTTTTTTTAATTAATAGAGAGAGTCATGAATTATGATCCAATAACCCCTAAATTATAGATTTCTAACACAGCAACAGTTTTGTGTTTTTGAATAAAACTATCTTTGTTAATTGATGATTCAAACAACTTCATATCATCATTCAATTTCTTAAAATTGTTTGGCAATATATCTATAAGCAATCATATATTGTTGTTGTTGAATATGATTTTTAAAAACACATACAAGCAATTTACAAAAAATGAGAAATAAATAAATCATTAATGATACTGTATTTTCAAGCTACATTTTCTTAAATAGCCATTGATTAAACCTACAACGTTTTTTGCATTTTTGTATTACGTTTTCTGGAAAATTAAAATGCATGATGATGAAAGGAACGTTTTATTGGTTTATAATATGGTTTTAAAAAAAAAAGAATAAAATTGTTGTTCATGATTTTGTGTACTGATAATGAATCACATAAAGCCAAAACACAATAACCGGAAATTTTATTTCGGTTTACATTGGTACGGTTTCGAGTCCGGTTTGTTCATTTCGAAGTTATCTTTTGTCTTCTCGTCGAACACATCTCTTTCTCTATCTATCAGAGGGCAGAGCAACAACAAAAATGCAACTCCAAACCCAATCCTTCGCTCTCACTCTTCTCCCATCTCCTAATTTCGCCAAACCCACCGAGAGACGCGAATTCATCTCTCTCAAACGAGACCCGTCTCGTCCAATTTCGCTCCGATGCTCCGTTTCCACGGCTTCGGATACTCCGTTGACGGCGACCCATCATCTCTCCGCTTCCACCCACAAGCCCTTTCCGGCGGAGGTTTCGAGGAGTATCATGGAGCTTTCCTCCGTTGGAACTCTCTCCACTTTGACCCACGACGGCTGGCCTCTCGGCGTTGGAGTTCGCTTCGCCGTTGACCAAGATGGCACTCCTGTTCTTTGCCTCAATCGCACTTTCTCTCCTGACAAGAGGTCTGCTCTTCATGTTCAGGTCATCACCGTTTCCTCTTCTTCTTTCTGCAATTTTGAATTGTCTTTTGGTTCATTCTTCTTCTGATCGTATCCTTCTTTTTGGAATCAGTTAGAACAATGTGGATTGAGAACTCCTCAGTGTACGATACAAGGTAGCATTAGTCGCCCAGGAGACGATCTTGTTCTAAAGGTATGATCTTTTGTACTTTACTCTCTCACTCCAAACAACACAGCATTACGAGTCTTGGAGTATTACCTAAATGTGCATTGTTTTTGAGACTTTGTTTGGACGATAATAATCTTAATTGACCTGTTAGTGTTATCGTCCTTGCTACTATCCTGTAGAACCTCTTAAGGTAAAAAGAAGACTTGCGTATATATCCATTTTATGTGTTTGTGTTTAGTATTGGCTAGTTGAAATCTATTTAGACATTTTCACTTTTTCTCATTTTGAGCTTCTATTGGGTATTGAGTGTGTAGTTTAAGATAGTGATGTTGGTTTTCAACTTTTCGTAGCCTCTAGGAGATGTCTGTGGAACCAGTTGGCTATTTCTCATAACGCTGATCGTACGATTCTAGGTTTATTGCCCTCTTCATCTGCTTATACTTGGAATTTAATCGAAGTCACCATGTTTGATGTAGCGCCTTAGTGCTACATGGAGGAAAAAGTTTGGCGAAGAAGTTGAGGAGGACAGTTTATATGTTGTAGCAGTTGACCGTGTACTCCAAATGGAAGACTTCATGGAGGTAGAAATCACTAGCTCTTTCAGTTTCTTGTGACAGTTAATGATCACTTAGTTGACGCCTCGAACACAGAAATTTGTTGTGATCAACAAAGTCTAAACACTTCTACTGTTTTACAGGACGGGATCTGGGTGGCGTCATCAGATTATAAAAGTGCAAGTCCTGATCCTCTTCGAGATGTTGCAGAAGATATTGTCAACCAGATCAACACTAACAACATGGAAGACATTTTCCGATTCTGCAACGTATACGTGGATCTAGACTTTGTGGTTAGTATTCTCAACATTCTATGAAAAGACTTCAAAGAATGTTCAATCTAAACAACATGTTCAGTCTTCCAAACTATTTTGCTTTCTCCCTTTTCATTTTTACTTGTTGTTCAGGATTATAACTTTGAGTTTTATATCAGGTTTCAGAAACAAAGATGATTTGGATGGATAGGCTTGGATTTGACCTCCGAGTATGGTCTCCACGAGGTATATATGATGTGAGGATTCCGTTTCCAATGGAAGTAACAGATGAAAAGGGAGCAAAATCATCCTTCAATGGAATGTCACAGCTCGCTTGGGAAGTAGAGAAAAGCTATTGCCCTGCAGAATTTAACAAGGTCAAACTACTTAAGCAAGTAGTAGGATCATCACACAAGGGAGGACATTAACGATTCTATTGACTTTTTTTTTGCTGTTGTTGTCCACATTATTCTTTGTTTACTAGTTTATGCAACAATTGGGCATTGGCTCTCTGTTGTATCTCATGGATGAGTATCTGTTTTAAAGTAAATAGGACATGCACCAAACATGATATAAGATTTTTGTCCAATAGGAGTTATTATCCAATTGTTTAATTATCCTTGAATTGTTTATACAGAGAAAGCAAAATCATATATATAAAAGTAAGGTTCCACTCTCTCCTTATTGGTGGAAAAATATTTAAGTCTTTAATTTTTTTTTAAAAATAAAAATAAATAAATGTTTATGATAATCATTCAATACAAAATTTAATTACACTATAAGTTATAATCAAATGGCAAAGAAAATGAAAGGACTTAATCATATATCATTCAACAAAATAAATAAATAAATAAATGTTTATGACAATCATTCAATACAAAATTTAATTACACTATAAGTTATAATCAAATGGCAAAGAAAATGAAACGACTTAATCATATATCATACAACAAATTTTATAAGCCTTATTGGTGGAAAATTATTTAAAATC